TGGAAAGCCAATATTATATAAAACCCATTTAGGATGGATAGTTTCCGGTCCAATTCTTACTAATGATTTAAAATGTAATTTTTGTAAAGATGTTTCCCATGATCATAAATATGTTAGTTCATTTGATTTGCCAGAACAAAGATTATGTGAGAAAGAACCTTCAATTCTGGGAGATTCTTTCAAGAAAGCAACACACTGTTGCCAATCATTAGTCTCGCGGGACTTGCCTGCTTCGATTGACGTAGATATTGCACCTCACGAGCCCGACAAGTTACTTGGTGTGGGTCGGTATCCCGCTTCCGATGATTTAGGGTTTCCTAAAATTCCGAGCGAGTCCTTGGCTAGGCATAGTGAACGCGATTTATTATCATTGATACGAAAAGTGATTACATTAGTGCTTTCATTTATTTTAGTCGTTATTATAATTTATTTACTTTAAGATTTATTTAATCATATAGGAAACAATACATTTATTTTTTGTTTCATGTTAATAAAACCCACCTTATCTCATTACAGTCCACTCATCAGTTTACAAAATTATTGTTTAATTTCGAGCATATATGATTGATGCACGCTGGCCCACATTTGCTATTAGCTCCCATAAGGGAATCGTACTGACCAAGAAGGTCGCAACTTGGCGAAGACTTGTACTCATAAGTGTGTTCCATGTCGCCGCATGAAGGGACGGGTAGTTAGTCCTATACTGGGCAACTTACCACGAGAACGACTTCGTCCAGGTTATCCCTTTGAGAGCACCGGCGTTGGTTATGCCGAGCCTATTATTGTGTGCTAGTCGTCGGGGTTGCGGATTCGGGCTGGTGAAGGTGCATGTAGGATTTTTTATATGTTTTCCGATCAAACCCATTCATTTGGTGTCAACTCGTTGGCGATTTAATTAGTAAGGGTTATTTACTAGCGTTGCATCGATTGATTGCTTGAGGAGGTACATAAGCCCGTTGATATTTTTTCGGACAACGGTATCTCATTTATCGGTGCGTGCAATGACCTTTCTCATTTGTAAAGGAAAATACTTTGGCCTTGGGTGAAAGTGCCGCGAATGATGGAATTAAATTTCATTTTTATCCCTGCGTACATCCCGCACTTCGGTACCTTCTGGGAGGCGAGTGTAGTCAACAAGGTACATCGTCAAGCGAGTGTTGGGATATTGTAATTAAACTTTTAATAAACTGTACACCACACTAACTAAAATCGAAGCCATTTCGAACTTTCATCCACTAACGCCTTATCTTCAGATCCTGCAGATTGCATACCGCTGACGCGTAACCTTGCTGCAACCTGATTATCCTGTTCCTGCAAGGATGGATTGAAGCTGGACTCCTTAGTGGCGATTAAGGAGGATAATCTCCCTCCGTTGAAGTGGAGACTAGGCCGTGTGGTGGCGGTTCACCCAGAAACAGACGACATCGCTTGTGTTGCTGACAGCCAGACGGCCACTGGCATCGTACGATGGGCATTCAATCGAGTCGGCCCACTACCTGTGACTTCGGAGTTTGGTTGAAACCGTTGCTTTCAACGCCCGGGGGCATGTTCGCGCGCCTGATGGTTTTTTCAGAGCAACAACTTACGCTCATGAAATGTATAAATTATGAAGAAATCTGAAAATTACCCCACTTGCTATACTTAACTGCTGTAGTTAGCACCCATTAAAGTTTATTAATTTAAAACCGTGTTCGAGTATATTTTTCCTGAGTCCATCCACATCAACCCTGGTTCCGTACAACGATCTAAAAATGAAGCAATCCATCTGTGACATTAAAATAATTAATCATGCTCACTTATGTAAGTCTGTAAAATCGTCGTGCGAAGAGCGGTGGATCAAGTTGCACAGGCCAAACACCTGGTTGTACACATGTTGTCCGGAATGCCAGGTTCGCATTATTTGCGCGAACGGAGTGACAATGACCCATCTTATAAACAATGGCATCATTACTCTAGGTCAGGGCTGCACATTGAAAGGGGATACCTTTAGTATTTATGCTCATAATAACTTTTTCAGTAATTTGAATATTCATCATCATATCGAAGTCCCAGAGGTGTCTATGCTTAATCGAATTATGAAAACATCAATACCCGACAATATTAGTATGGTCGAGGATCATCAGGTTATTTGGGATCAGTTAAGGGCTCAGATTGACGAGGTTAAGGAACAGTCATCAACAGATCTGAGCATTCATGATGTTCACCATTACACTGTGCTATACATCAGTGTAGCCGCGGTGATCATACTGGGTGGCGTCGTCGTGTACCTCATCAGGAGTCGTCGAGCTGCGGCTAGGGCAGCAGCGTCGCCGGCCCCCCAGGGCCAGGAGGCTGCTGGGGCGGGGCCGGCGACAGTCGCGCCGGTGGATCCGGCGCCAGTGGCGTCACATCAAGCGCGATCAGTGCTTAAGTGCAGTGAAGTGTTCACGGTCAGTGGTGTAGATAAGGCTACTTCGCCAGAATCTATGTGATCAGTGCGCTCCGTGACTAAATTGGTTAGGTCCTACGTTTTAGTGTATATTTTATTTTACATTACATTATAGCACCTAAGACTATCTTTGATTCATCACCTTGTTATCATCCATCATCCTTTTATACAATTTAATTTTGATCACATTATCTATCTTCTTTGTCCTTTCAATCTTTTTCATCTCAATCGTGTTTTATCTATCTCTTTTGAGTGGGCAGGATGTACGGAACCGTACATTATTTTAACTACTCACCGCCCGTGCGTTCTGCACACTCAGGTTTTGTGTATATTGCAAACAATGCAAAATGTAATTTGTGTCTTTTATAACGAATTATAAATCAATGTTAATCTAGCATTCAAATCGGGTGGTATTATTTCTATATCCTTATAGGATTAACCCCTCATCATATCGTATCATCAAAGGTGTAGGAATCTTCTACATGGACTTAATTCATTCATATTGATGAGGACTTTGCACCTATATGGATTATGTAAGTATATTGAAGATCTGCAGTATATATACATCGACGAGGGAATTCCTCAACGATTTACAGCTAAACTAACTGAACACTGACTAAGTCAGGTTCAGGACTTCTACTATTACCGTGATTTTCGGTCTCAAGTAGCCGTCGTCTTCTCATTCGAAAACCATTATACTTGCTTGCTCTGCCTACTACACTTAAAATGGTGAAATAAATATTTTTTACAATAATATTCCGACTTCAAAAAGTAAACGAAATAGCAAAAAGTGTTTTTTTTGTAGAAATGAATACATGTTTTCATTTAGTTAAATAGAAAATAATATTATAACCATTTTATAATCTTGAATCATCAAAGTCATACCAAAACAACAACAGTTTTAGAAAAATATACCTATTGTTCGGTACCTCCTGAACATCAAATTAACAATAGGTAGGTATTCTTGTAGTGTTATATGTATGTAGGTAATCTTACTTGGCACCGAATGTAAAAATGTTTATGTGTAAATTTTCTTGAGTGTAATATTCAATTTGATTTTTATATTATTCTGTTCTGGTCTCTTAAACCGCGGTCGGCGAGTAAGGGTAGCTCGCCGCCCGACCAGAACCAGGCCGAGCGTACGACGCGTAGCGTTCTGCGCGCTCTTCAAAGAGCCAATAGATATAACCACAGACGGGGCCCTATAGGGCTGATGTTCAGCCGGGGTTGCGGGGTAAGCCGGTAAGCGCAATGAGGCACCGCGACCTCGGCCCAGAGCAGGAGAAGGAACAGGGGGGTTTCTAGACAGTAAGAGTCTGAAACTAGCTCCGGCCCGGCCCTGGGCGAGAGAAGTCATTTGATGATTTTCCCTTCACAAAAAACAACATTTTCATTCCGTACGCACTCCATCAAGGTAGGTACGGAAAACATCATCCATCACCCCACACTATGCTTGACGAGATATTTGATTTGACGAGACGACGACGAGATATTTGGCTTGACGAAGTTTCGGAGGCACCTGTATCAGTTCATCATCATCTGGCATAAAGCAAAAATCCTGGGTTGTTTGCATTGGCATAGCATACGGTGACGGTGTGCCCTGTTTGGAGCACGAGGCCACCGTATAGCATGATGATTGCCGTTGTAAGTGCGGGTCTGTGGACGGCGAGCAAGGGTAGCTCACTGACCGATCAGGACACAGATTACGAGTGATACAGGCTAGGGAGGGACAAATGGAGCCCACTGCGGCCGGGGTTCAATGGGGCCCAAAGATTGGATTGCTTTGGTATTGGATTGGAGTTCATACATATATCGCGAAGGCTGTCTAAATAGGTAACCTGAACTGGTACAGTATTGAATATCTGAATATTGTTCTGATTTAAATTAAATATTATAACTGTAAAATGTAGAAATTATGTTAAGTTTTGTATACTTACAGCGTTTTAGATTAAACCAGGGACATATTCAACAACCCGATTCTGGTGCTCAAATACAACTTTTTTGCAATGAGCTGTTGCGATTTGTATAAGGAAATAAATTTATTGTTGAGATTTGGATACTGGGCCCATGGTAAAGTTATTGTAATTAAATATTGTGTCCGTGGTTTAACCTAACACTCTTTATACGTAACTATACAATATTATACAGCCTTGAGTGTGGGAAGACCGGGGTGATATCACGGCCTCGCCGAAACCTGGCATAAATGGCATAAAACAACGGTTGCTTTGTGTTTTGCTCCCCCCCCCCCTCCCCTTAGCAAAGGTGTGCTGTTTTTATTTATCAGGTGACTAATTATTACCTTAATCGTCCGTCACACTAAAATATTGACTCATATAATAGGCGTCCTCACTCTCCGTTTTATTGTTATTAGCAATTTATGATAAGCCCTTCGTTCACGTACCTCGAGTTGCAAAATACTTCAAAACAATATGGTTCGTAGGTATTTTGTGAGTCCTTTATACAGTTCAAAGTTCTGTTTAGGTCTTATCTACTGCTACGTTATACATTATGAGCAACAGTTGTAACACTGGATAGCCGTGACGTGTCATTATGGAAGTCTGCACGGCTTAGTATGACGCCGATGCCGCGATGTGCAGTTACAGTGACCACAACCACTGAAACTTGGGCCACTATCGATTGTCAAGTCTTGTACGGAGAGTATCAGCGGTGGCGTGCGTGGACGGGGTCGGCTGGCATGCGACGCGACCGCGGCGGCGCACACTTACTTGCGGCGCCGGCGTGGGGCCCGCGGGGCTCCGAGCGGTCGGCAGCGGCGGAGCGGCTGCGGCGCGACGTGTCTGCCCGGCCACTCCCGGCGGACTCGCTCGCTCGTGCAAGAACCGCTGAGGATGGCTGCGAAGACGGACCGCGCATGCTCAACCCGCCTTTATCCCATTGGACAACACATTCCCACGTGTATACATAAGTGCATCATTGTGTAAACACTGACTCAGATACTTTGACAACTTTATAAAATCGTCGTATGCAGCATAGGTATGCAAGTTCCAAACAGAAGTTAAGTCCAACTGGTAAAGAGCTAAAGCAACCACTTAGGCTACTCATTGTATCACAAAGTTTTGTAGTCGGGGACACCTAAGATAAAAAATATGAAAAGCTATTTCTTCACATTATGAGAGTATATATAACATAATATATAGATATTATGTTTACTTTCGTTCTATATATACCTACATCATAAATATAAGATCAATACTCACGGTTTGGAAATGGAAATTGATTTGATAACCATTTCTGTTTCTTTCAAAATTTACTATAAATTTATCATATTTTTATTAATTTTCTGTGCACAAATTTCACGACGTTGAAACAAAGAAACTCGTTGGTATCATAGACATGATAGTTAACGTGGCAAACTTCCCGCTGCACCCAAAGAGTATAAATGCGAAAATACAAGCACATGCATCGGTTAAAACGTTTATTTTGGTTAGTGACGCATTGGTGTGGTCACGAGTAGTCACAATCGCGGCACTCGGGACACTCCAGTGGATGGATAAATACTTTTACAGTAGGTACTTACACTTTGTTGTGCATTTTTTTATTTGAGGGTTGACTTCTCCCGAGGTCGTGGTCGCCCGGAGAGGTCGTGGAGGCCCGGAGGTTAAGCAGCCCGCTTCTCATGCATGAGTGTGTGTCAAATGTGACTTTTTCCGAGTTATATGTACTTTCTATGATTATTTAGATACCACTGACATACGGGGAAGGTAAACATCGTGAGGAAACCTGGACTTATAATTTCTAATTATATGTTTGAAATCGCCAACCAACATTGAGCAAGCGTGGTGATAAATGCTCTAACCTTCTCTGTATGAGAAGAGGCCTTTTCTCAGCAGTGAGCACTTTTATGCTGATGATGATGATGATGATGATGATGACTTCTCCCGCCCAAAAGTCATTTATCAGGGAGTCTGCTGCTCTGGGCCGAGACCGTGGTAACTCATTGCGCTAACCCAGCAACCCCGGCTGAACATAAGCCCTATAGGGCCCCATCTGTGGTGGTCTATTGGCTCTTTGAGGCGCGCGTGAAACGCTACGCGCCGTCCGCTCGGGTCTGGCTCTACTCGAACGACGAGCTACTCTTACTCGACGTCTGTAGACCAGCACTCACGATGGCCGAAGATCGTCTCTCGATCCCGGGCGCCCGAAGTGTCGCCTACTGCGGCGGTTGGGGCATGAGGAGAAATATAGCTCCCTCACGCGGTTCGCCTCTTTCTTTGGGACATCTCTTTCTGCGAAGCATAACTGCTTCGCAGAAGAGGAGATGTCTTCCGAGTTCCTCTCGCTCCGCACCATGGCCTCGACTAAGGCCGGGAGCGAGAGAGATCGCCGCAGCCGATTACTTCTGAAGTTTCAGCACCTCCTTTCCTCAAACAAGGAGGTGCTCAGCCCAAGCAGGGTATACTGCCACCGTGTGCTTGTCCTCTGCTTCTCACAATGACGACACTCGGGCGTTTCCTCACGCCGGATCCGAAACAGGAACCTACAGAAGCTACGTTTTTTACATGTTGCGATATCGGATAGTACTTACGATGATAAAACATATACCTAAGGGATATGCATTCTAGTGATAGATTTGCATCATTTGTTCGCCCGTAGCCACATAAACTGCCAGGAGGCTAACAGACTCTTCCATTAATTGAATAAAATATTTTAGTAGAATAATACTCTATGGCAATGAACGTCACTGACATATATGTCATTTAGTTAGGCTGTGGCCGCTGTCACTGTCACAATCTATTAGTCGTAGAAATGGCTACGGAACTGTTGTTTGTCCCTTTTAAAAAGGGGTCTGATGTGGATATTATTAAACCGCTCAGAAATTTGATAAACGCGACATACAATACCGGTGACCAGCATGAAGATTATACAGAAGCCCTTAATGAGCTAAGCCGATTAAGGGCCAATGCTATTTGGAAAGTATTCGAGAAATCGTCGCTGGAGGTTATCTACAAGTAAATACAGTATTTATGTCGCATGACTCACTCCCAACAATTGAATCATTACCAATCTCTAAAAATTAAGGACCCTAATGCACTGTTCCATCTGACTCAAAGATTTTCATTTGTAAATTAGTGGAAGTGTAAAAAGTGATGTCATCAAGCAATACTTAGGCATACAAACAAAGGAAAAACCTGACGCGAGAATAAGGCGTAGTCGCGTATCAATGAGAGCTTATTAAGTATCTATGCGCTACCGATGTGATCGATATATTTATGTTGTTGCAGCTACTATGATCAGCTTGCTTCCTTGGAATCCAAGATCCCACCACAGGAGGTGCAAATCCCCTTCAAGTGGAAGGATGCTTTTGACAAGGGCTCTTTGTTTGGAGGGCGGATGAGTCTGAGTGAGTATGGCTGACCTACCTTCCACCTTACTGATTACACAGGCACAGAGAACTGCTCAGTTGCCTTTGGAACCATTTGATTTACAGATGATTGAGTCAGCTGTTAATATCAACATCATGATTAAAGTGTATTATACTGCAAGCCAATAGCAAGTAGTGCTTGATGTAGGGCAGTGCATTCTGTAAAAGCTTGTCTATATGTTACAACATTGTGTTGGGATTCCCTGTACAGACCTATAGGTACATTGTTTATACCCAAACATACATGTGATATTATATAGTCAATTTGCTTCACCCATTTTCAATTTGATAGCAGGTATTAAATAAATAATCCCATATCACTTTTGAAACAATTTCACAGTAGAAATTATTAAACTCTGGTAAGAGAGCAATAATCATAATGTGTTAGTGGTTGAGAAAAATAATCTGCTCCTACTGATGACACATGAAATGTCAGTATTTAGAGTTGCCATCTGGCATGTTACTACTACCAACTATAAGCACACCATGTTCCACAGCAATCAGCTCACTGGCCTATGAGCGCATGTGTATACTGTTCAACATTGGTGCAATGCAGAGCCTGATTGCATCACAGCAGACAGTGGAGACTGAGGAATCCCTCAAGCAAGCCGCCAAGCTATTCCAGGTACCGCAGTTGAACTCCTTACATAATTTACAGTGTGTAACACCATTAACACAATCCTTGTCTCCATATTGAGTCTCACATGTCCAACATAAAGGTACTTGAAGGAATATGGACATCACATTAATAATACGAGATCCAGTGCCAGTAATTATGTTATAGTTAGTAATTACCATACAATTCTGGGTCTTGCACTATTTTAGCATTAAAACATATTTTATACAAAGCAGGAAGTGTTCACATAATTATCTAAATTTGATTACTTTAGATCACTTGATTAACTTCAAATATATTTTGTGAATGTGTGCTCCATGAATTCTACAGTTTAGTACATCTCACAAATGTTATAAAATAACAAGAAGAAAAACAGGGCTTACTTCAATCTAACATTTATATTTTTCGTGGAAGATGATATATTTTCCTAATCAATGCAGAATAGAATAGGAATCATTACAGTAGGTATATTAAAATTAATAACTTATTTTCGATTGAGGAAATTACCCAATTGTTAGAGTTGTTGTTGTGTATAGAGTCCTGTGCTAGTGAACTCCACCAAACCGCACGGGACTCGTAACTGGCGGAAATGGAGGCCATGTTGTGTGTATGTATGCTGGTGCTGCCCCCCTCCGGGGATAAAGGCGAGACATTACCTGTGACTACTGTGTGCGTAGCAAGCCGCGGGCGTGTTCGCGTACCTGAAGGCGAACATCATGATGGCGGTGCACCAGGAGACCACGCCCGACCTCAACCCCGACACGCTGGACGCGCTCGCCAAGCTCATGCTGGCGCAGGCGCAGGAGGTCATCGCCTACAAGTGCATTCGCGGTAAGTGGGGGGCCGGGCGCGGGGCGGGGGCAGCGAGGCGGGCTCTGTAGCGGCGCGCTGCCTGTTGCAGACGAAATGAAGGAGAGCATGGTCGCCAAGGTCTGCGCGCACTGCGAGGAACTGTACACGGACGCTCTGCGCGCCATGCAGAAAGAGCAGCTCAAGGCGCTCTGGGACCGCGACTGGCTGCCGGCGATGGCGTCCAAGCAGGCGGCATTCCGCGGGCTGGCGCAGCTGTACCAGAGCCAGGTGTGTCGCGCCAACAAGGCCGTGGGCGAGGAGATCGCGCGCCTGCAGCTGGCCGAGGAGCAGCTGCGCGCCGCCTGCCAGCGCGCGGCCGGCGCCGGCCTGCTGGCCGACCAGCTCACGCGCGCCTCGCGCCAGCTGGCCAGCGCGCGCAAGGACAACGACTTCATCTACCACGAGCGCGTGCCCGAGCCCGCCGCGCTCGAGCCCGTCGCGCGCGCCGCCATCGCCAAGCCGCTGGAGCCCCCGGCGCGCTGGGGCTCCGCGCGCGACCTGTTCGCGGCGCTCGTGCCGCTGGCCGTGCACCAGGCGCTGCAGGCGGCCGCGGCGCGGCGCTCCGACCTGGTGGCGCTGGAGATCAACAAGCTGCGCGACGCCACGCAGCTGCTCAACAGTATCCTGGCGTCGCTCAGCCTGCCCGCCTGCCTCGAGGCGGCCGACGGCGCGCTGCCCGACTCCATCCGCGCGCGCGCCGCCGCCGTGCGCGACGCGGGCGGGCTGGCCGAGCTCACGCGCCTCATGGCCGAGCTGCCCGAGCTGCTGCAGCGCAACCGCGACATCCTGGACGAGGCCCAGCGCATGCTGCGCGAGGAGGCCGACGCCGACGCCGCGCTGCGCACGCAGTTCGGCGCGCGCTGGACCCGCACCGAGTCCGCCAAGCTCACCGAGGCCTTCCGCGCCAACGCCGACAAGTACAGGCAGATCATCGACAACGCCGTGCGCGCCGACAACATCGTGCAACAGAAGTTCGCGCAGCACCGCGACAACATCGCGCTGCTCAGCGGCAGCGACGGCGACCTGTCGGCCGGCGTGCCCGACGCGCCCGACGGCGCCCCGCGCCCCGCCGCCGCCGCCGCCGACGCCGAGCGCTCGTTGCGGGCGCTCATGCAGGACGTGGAGGCGCTCAAGGCCGAGCGCGACAGCATCGAGGCCGAGCTGAAGGACACCACCGTGGACCTGCGCGAGCAGTTCCTGGGCGCGCTGGCGGCCGACGGCTGCGTGGACGAGCCGGCGCTGTCGGCGGGCGCGCTGGGCGCGGCGCTGGCGCCCCTGCAGCGGCGCGGCGCCGCCACGCTGGCGCGCCAGGCCGACCTGCTGGCCGCCGTGCAGGCGGCGCACGCGGCGCTCATGGCGGCGCGCGGCGGCGCCAGCGGCCGGGACGAGGCGCTGGGCCGCCTCGCCGCCGCCGCCGACGCCTTCCAGGAGCTCACCGCCAACCTCAACGAGGGCATCAAGTTCTACAACGACCTGACGCAGGTGGGTGGCGGCCTGTCGTCGGACCCCCCTCCCCCCAGTGGTCCGCTCTAACCGCGCGGTTCTCGCCACAGTTGCTGGTGGCGTTCCAGAACAAGGTGTCGGACTTCTGCTTCGCCCGCAAGACGGAGAAGGACGAGCTGCTGAAGGACCTAACGCAGGAGGCGGCGCGGGGCTCCGTACGGCCCGCGCCCGCGCCCCCGCAGCACCACAGCGACGCCGAGGTTACTGCTCCCATTTGTTTACAAAACTTACAAATTACATTCTTACACTTTACAATATCGATCGTATACACATTCGCGGGTCCGATTTCCACCCGGAACGACTCTTTGTGTGGTTTACAAATATGTTGTCCAGGTCCGGGTGTGATTTGTATGTGACATTTTTGTGGGGCAACGTTTTGTTTATAGAAATAATATCGATATATTAATTTTTGCGACAATGAACCCATGACACATTTCGCGGTGGCCAGACACGAATCGAGTTGATGTTGTACTAGTATTGCTACAACAACCGTTTCGTGGTTCTGAATGTCCCCGCATCACTCGTTGTTGCCAAGCTGTACAAGAGTGCGCAGGTTGCCTGCCAGGGTAAGTGTCCTGGCGTACACTGCGCCGCTCTACAGTACCGACTACCGGCGGCACTATCCCTCGATGTGGTCCACTATAATCATTGTATACAACAAACATTTGTGTGGTTTACTAAGTTATGGCACCCTGTCTGAATATTATCAATGACACCATTCATCTCCACCGCCTGGCAGCGTATGGATGCAATACTTTTAGATATTATGTTCATCAATTTGGTTCATTTATCATGTATCCACTTTATCAAAATTTGAGTTGGGGATTTAGGAAAATGGATATGATATTGAAATAGTTTCGTGTATTGCAGCCCCCCGCGGTGCGTAAAGAGGCTCCGCCCCGGCCCCCTCCCCCCGCGGCTCCGGGAGCCCCCGCGGCCCCCGCCGCCGGCCCCTCCGCGCTGCCTTACCCCCAACAACCGCAAGGTGAGTGCGAGTCGTGGGTCCACTAGGATCATTAATAATGTACCGCAGTAGACAAAATGAGGTGGTTTTAAATGAGAAGGAATGCATGAGGCCGCCCGGCGCTGGCCTGTTACGGTATTTCACAATGAATGAAACAATGCGGCCCCGCAGGCATGCCGGTCCCGTACGGCGCGGGCGCGGCGTACCCGTACTACGCGGCGCCGCTGCCGACGCTGTACAACCCGTACGCCACGCTGCCCTACCCGCACCACGCGCGCATGCCGCCGCCGCAGCCCTACGCGCCCTACCAGTACCCGGCGCCCGGCCCCGGGCCCTACGCGCAGCCCCCGCCCGCCGGGTACAACCCCTACCCGCAGCAGTAGGCGCGGACCTTGGCCTGCGTCTGACCTCTATTATATTATAGTTAAATATGCGCATTTAACGAATTTTCAAAAGGTATGTGATGCCCAAATGAAGTAAATTATATTACATGTATTAAGATGAAATCTCTGTACACCCAACGCGTATCGTGTAGTCGTACGCGAGCCCGCCAATATTGTTCACAGAATGCAATGTTACGCTGGGGAAGTATTAAGTATTTACATTTCTGTGATTGAGCACGACGCGCGCCGCTGCTTACTAGATGGGGATAAATCTCACTGCACTGTAATAACAAACTCGTTTGTAATTATGTAAAAAATATATTTGTTATTATTATTCTTGAGAAATAAAGTTAGGATAAATAATTTTTTAATAAAATTGCTTATTATTTCCCGTCCTGTTGTACCGATGCGCTCATAATTACGTAAGTAGATGTATATACGATATGTGTGATGTACGGTTGTGTAAGTATACAATTGTGTCCACTCACTAACAACATGTTTTACAATGATCAACATGATGTTCTATTACTTCATAATCTCTTTTGTAAAGTAACGCGCTTCAGCGCTAAACTCAGATAAAATATACCTAGGCTAGAAAAAATTAAACAACAAAAAATTTGGTGGTGATATACAAACAGACAGACATGTCGAATACATAAAGGATCTGTATCAGCCTCTAGGCTACGAAACCTTGCCTTGTAATCAGGGCGGGCAAATGGCAGCACTCTCACTAAGCCGTATCGGTTGGAGCACGGAGTAAGTACAAAGAGAAGAATTTTAATTAGATTTGTGATATTTTGCGAGGTGCATCTGGCTGTCAGTAGTTCAACTACTCGCTCGTTCAATTGATTTCGTTTTGTAGTTTCGTAACATCTCACTAACTGCAGGATGCAACAGAGTCGGGGAGATGTTTTTATAATTAATTTTGCGAATTATCTTAATGTGCATTTTTTTATCGAAATTGCAGAGCAATTATTGGTTAATCAACATTCATCAAAAACCTTTTTATATTGTATTTTTACAGCACTTATCAAGATTTCTCCTTTTTGTATGGGACGGGCATAACTCGAAGCAGGAACCTGTGTACTATGCCAGGTCGCCGACGCCCCGCTGCCGCGCTGGCCGCTGGCCCTTTATGAAGACTGTGTGTGGACTGTACTTTATTTATGTGTTTAACTTGAAACGGGTTACGAGATATGCGTTTAGACATCTTACTTTCCAGTTTCCAGGTAAAAAATCTTATTTTTGGATGCATTATTGAAAGCTGTATACAACCGAAAACAACTCAATATTTCCTGCTCGGCATATGAAATATGTAACCTTGTACCTAGGTCACATTTTCGATCAACATGTTTTCTTCAAAAGCGGTTATAACTATTGGTAAATCTAACGGGAAAAAACGCTTATTACCTAAAATTCGTTTATATAAAAACCAAGGAACAACCACTTCTATTCTAAATACATATATATATGCATTAAGTCCACCTTGTGTACAGTATCTTGTGCATGAAGCTTTTAATAAATAATAAATAAATAAATATATAACTCTAAATTATTTTAAGTATTTAAATGAAATAACATGGTTTTAGTCCTAAGCTTTCAACATTTTAATGTTTTGCTTCATCAAAACTTTTAAGTTAGGTACATAAATTAGGTCTTACAGATGCATGCGTACAAACTATTACAATACGTTGACTGCACGGTTGGTGCTTTGGCTGTCTTGGGTTTGATTCCCGCACGGAACAACTCATTGTGTGATCCAAAAATTGTTGTTACAGGTCTGGGTGGCTTTTGTTTGTGAAATTGTAGGTATGTCTGTAATCGCACCCGTGACGCAGGAGAAAATCCTAGCGTACGGCAACGTTAAAATAAACAATAAGTATTTAGGTTAATTCAAAGTAGAATGCAGAGCGCTTTGGAAATTATCCCCCTTGCGGGGAGTGAGGGGAGAGAGCCGCCGTAGTAGGCGACATTCCGGGCGTCGGCGATGGAGACATGAGCTCCGGCCACCGCGGACAGCGCGGGTCTGAGGGCGGCGAGGGTAACTCGCCGCACCCGAGCGTACAATACGGCCGGCGACGTAACGAGGCGGATCTGAACCTCGTACAGAAGGTGCGCAATAACACTAGAGGAACCGAATGGTGGCATAAAGCGACGTGCGGCCGCGTTTGTCTAGGCTAGAGATTGACTTTATGTTAATAAAGACTTTTTATCAATCAAATATCCACGTTGTCCATATAATCAGCGTATTGAAATGCAGACTCTACGTCATAGGCGATTGGTGTACGACATTATGTTTCTCTATAAAATAGACAACAACAAACTTGGTTGCCACAATCCTTTAGCTAGCATAGCCATAAATGTACCGCACAACATGCCAAGACGCATCACCAACACTTTTCATGTAAAATCCTCCAAAACCAATATTGGTTTTAACTCACCCATCAACAGAATAAGCAGGCAATTCAACCAAATCGCAAGTATTGTGCCAGAAATCGATATATTCCACGACACCATTAATGTTTTATTCAAATCAAAAATATTCGAGTTCATTAAACAATAATCCGAATTTTTGGATGCTCCTCCTATCTAAAATGCCTGAAATACCTAATTACTAAATTAAACATTCATGTAGCATCATTCTAAATTTATAAATGGTAGCCCAAATCAATTTTTATTTTATTTAGTTAATACTTTACTTTGATAAATAGGTACTGTGGTCCTACCCATGTTAATTTAATTATATAGTTCTAATTTTAATTGCTATACACTTTGTCTATAAATGCATAATTTTAAGAATGTTGGTTAGCTCGTAACTATATGACCTACTGCCTATAACCAATACTTTAAACCACTTTGTATACATAAGCTGTGAGCCTACCTTATAATAAATAAATAAATATCGTTATCGCCCAGTTTTATTAGGAACTAGCTAATCTCGCGCAGTTTCACCCGCTGCTCTTCTCCTACAGATCGTAGCGTGACGTTTTATAGCCTTCCTCGATAATAACGGAAATGACAAACAAATAATTATTCAGACACTCCTTGCCTCACCCACTTGCTGCTTAATGGGCCGGCTCGACCAGAGTGATATCACGGCCTCACAGAAAACCCGCGTAAAACAATCACTGCGTTGTTTCGCCGTGGGAGAGGTTACCGGAGGCCCAATCCTTCGCCTCCCCCAATCCCTAATCCCCAAAAGGTCGACAACGCACTCGTTACTCTGTTGCAGGTGTCCATGATTCTGTGATTGCTTAATGCACGCTGATTGCTTACCATCAGGTAATCCGTCTGCACGTTTGCCGACATAAAAAAGTCATTTGATAATTTTCTTATCACAAAAATGATTAATTCTATGTTATTTTAATTACATGTATATGGTGTACACACGCTTGCAGAGTGCGTGGTGTGGGAAGAATCACCCTCTTGTGTATCCGTTGGCCAAAATGGGTATCTATTAGGGGGAAGCAGTAGCGTCATTCGTCCTCAGAGAAGACAAGACGTAAAACAAAGCTTGCGTTGCGCATTTAGTGCAGCATCTTAAGTTCTATTAATCTTAATAAAAAATTAACTTGAGTACAAGCACCCCTGGTGGGAATAAAAGGCATAATGTTAAAGTGTTTATAAATAGATATAATCACCAAAAATAAACGCAATGACAAATAAAACAAACTGTTATCACATAATTGTTCTATTTATTAAACGATACCATCTAAACATCGCGATATACTTGATTACATTAACTTGTCTGCGCTAAGCTAGTACTTGGGAGCGGGGGACTCCTCTTTGGAGTAGTCTCTGATGGGCGAGTAGAACTGAAACAACAGAAAGCACCATTAACACAAACTCGGCAAACACTACGCGACACTTGTCTGTACCAGAAAACTCTTTTCTACGTTTATTAATTTAACATTACAGTTTTACTAAATATACCTTGTATTGCTTGGCCCTGTACTCCTCCCAAGGCTCTGGGTTCGACTTTTTGTTCCAGGACACATCAGGGTTGCGAGTGGCCAGCCTGCCTAAGTAGAACACGGCGCCCGCGCATCCAATACCCACACACACGTACAAGGGGATCAACTGAAAATTAAAGAAACATACATTTATAGTGCCTCAGGTCCAATTGCTAACTCATATAAAATGTTTCTGTATATAATTGGTACATATAGTGTGGGGTCTGTCCAATATGTTATGTGTAATACTCTTCATACTCATTGTTTAAATGTTTGTCTCTCTACATATTCATGTAGAGAGACAAACAAAACCGAAATAGTCATTTGACTATTTCGGTTTTTCAGCAACAAGTTTACATCATGAGCAGATTTATTATGGCTTCATTGCAGGGAACTATAGAGCCACTATGCAGAACATTAATATATTCTTTGATATTCAGTTTCATGTACGAGCAATGGATACTTTGTAGGTGACTGGAGAATTTGGATTAAGACTTATTTTTCCCTGTTAAAAATCAGTCATAGCATTTTGGATGGATATATCATGTATTGATTTCACACATAATATTATAATAGCTTTAATGTGACATGCCGACATAAAAAAAAACTACAGTACCATCAAGAAAATACACATTTAGGATTTGGGGAGTGCACTATAAATATTTTTATGGTATAGGTCGGCAAACGAGCAAACGGATTACCAGAAAGCAATCAGCGTCGCCCATAAACACCCGAAACACCAAAGTAGTTACGAGTGCGTAGCCGACCTTTTATTGAAAGGGTTTTGGATATTTAAGTATTGGGAGGATGAAGGAGGGGGAGGGATCTGGCCTCCGGTAACCTCACTCACACGGCGAAACAACGCTGTGGTTGTTTCAAGCCGGTTTTCTTTGAGGCCGTGGTATCACTCCGGTCGAGCCGACCCATTCGTGCCGAAGCTAGTCTCTTCCACACTTATGCGCGGCGACTCCCGAGAGGTGTCTTGTTCTTCATCTCCAGTTAATCCTCGTAACTAGCAACAAATGTTGCCTCCATATTGCTACATGCAGTGGTCTCTGCCTGTTTAACCGTATGTTTCAATATTGGCCAGGGGCAGGGGCCATAGTATTTCTGTACATATCTGTGAGCACCTAGCTTCACTGATGAACAGACTGACACAGACTATTATTCTATTTTGATGTTTCAAAAGTACCTATTTATGGTTTAGTTGGAATAAATGATTTTGATTTGATTTGATTATCATATCCTAGTCCACAGCCAACCATAACCATACAATTTTCAACCATATTGCACAATAGTCCTGCATCAGCTGGGGATTGTCCTTGGGTACAATTTTATAGTGCATTCAGGGATAATAAAATGCCAGCTGATGTCTTATCATATTTAGATTAAAACTGTTCAACAGGCCTTTGCAAGTTGGCTTCAGCCCCTCCTACACCTTCCAAAGTCCCGGGATCCTGGGGTCCCGTGATAGGAAAGAACAAACAAATAATTCTTTATTTATTTATTGCAGACTATTCAGTTCAGTAAAATCTTAACCTAATTGTTAGTAAATAAAAATAAAAAGCTTATATAAATTGGCGATATGTACACACACGCCTAACAACCCAGTGCTTAATGAAAGGTCTGTCAATCTTGTCTGCCAGTGTAACTAATATGTTGTAAGGGTTACCCCTGAATCACTTCAGCATATTTTCACATTGCTTGTTATACTGAATAAGTATTCCTTACCCACAGGCTGCACATGTAAAATGGTTGACAAAACACTCCATAAATAATCAGTTTCACCTCTACACACACTCTACACTACTAGTACAATGCGCAAGCCAGTGTATTGCATCTGGTCCCCAACGCTTTGTGTTCCCTGTCTCTATATGGCTAAGAACTCACGGAGCGATTTTGAACCGTGCCCGCCGCGGTAGCAGAACTGCGGTTTTATTTCCAAACTCACGAGACCGGTTATTTGCGCGGTTACACAGCCGCCGCGGTTGCGATCCCGCAAACGTGGCGGGCGATGATCGCAAGATTGCAAGACGGGCGGTTAACGATCAGTTGAGGTCCAGACCGCCATGGACACACACCAGAAACGAGCCGTTGCGTTATATTTACTTCACAGAAGACCCGCCGGCCCACGCGTTCGCTCGCCAACCGATCGCAAAGCGCGCGGGTGCCACCCGCCGAGGCTGCGGGTAACCGCGGCCTGCGCGATTCTACTAGTTGCCCGCCGGTACAGCGGTAGCCGCATACAACCGCGTACACCGCGGGCATAAAACGCGTCGTGAAATGTGCTTTAATTATTTATATAAATATTTGAATTCTACAGAAGCTGCGGGCCCGCAACCGCTGCAGTCACGGGCGAAAATCGCTCCGTGAGTTCTTAGCCTATCTTGGTCATCCATGAGACATGAGTGTGACAACATCACCCAAGCATTTAAACTGAGTAACTAACTCCAATGTACGGTAAGTTAATACATGGAATATTAACAGGTGTATTGTTTTGCACTTTAAAAACAATTACCTTGCTCTTGCTTGCAATATACCTCAAGCCATGAACTACAGCATACCTCTCACAGATGGTCAACAATTACCTCAGACTACAGATAGATGGACCGAGCAGCACCATATCATCAGCATAACTTATGTTGTTGATTAAAGTTACATCAATATAGCATCTGATCTTGCTGCTACTCAGCTCACATATCACCCAATCCATATACACATTAAAAAGACTTGGTAAAGTCAATTCTCAAAAGGGTATGGTTAGGAGTGAAGCTGTACATACAAGGAATAATGGGTATGGGCAAATTTTGCAGATACTGTCCATAATTATTTCTCTTTAATTTTAGTAATATTTGATGCACCAGATCGTCCTTATGCTCAGTATGATGCTATTATTTCCTTAACTGTTTTTTTTAATCAGTACCTATTTATTCAGTACTCACTACTCACAAGATAATAGATTACATATTTATGCAGTATGTAAAAAAAAATCTAACACATTATTTTTAGGTTTTCGATTTTTAAATCCATTGCAAATGGCACCTTATCATGAGATCGAGAGATAACGCTATTAATTTACTTGCAAATCATTTTGAATATCATCGACATAAAATCAATTTCCGTTTTCTACAAGTGAGTGCAATCATAAAATTATTGCAACTTTGACTAATACCTACATTTATGTACCTGCGATAACAAAATATAGGTAAGAGGTTAATTATGTAAGAAGTGATTTCCAACACGCAGAACGGTTTGATTAACAAGATAACAAAAGACACTTACAGCTTTGTGTTTCTTCAAGCTTTCAAGAGATAAGCCTTGCATTTTTATGCTTTGTATTGAACAGGTTCACAATTAGTCGCAATTATACTCTAGCAATCGATCCGATGCAGATCCTCTTGACTGTTGAAAAAATCTGACAATCCGGTGACAACCAAACCAATTTTGCGGATATTGTAGATTTTGACACGAGAGTAGAAATGTCATGGGTGTGCCATATACATTTTCCATACAACACCGCGGCACCGTTTGTTTTACATATTTAAAGTACATATATTATTAGTATGTTAATTGTTACTACTGCTGTCCAAAATACAAAACATGATTTAACAATTAAATTTTTGGATCAATGTAGTTAAGTTTTCCAATCTATCCCATAAAAAATAAGGATCACCTGTTGTTTGTATAACATAGGTACTAGGACGGTTTTTGCCAGCGGTACCTGCAGTTAGAATGAGTGCATACTCAAAAGTAAGACCATAGTTTTCCTTATATTTTGTGAACATTCTTTAGTTTAGTTAACTTTTTACCACTTACTATAGAGAAGTATTTCAACACCACTACATTAAGACTTGTCAATGTCAGTTGTTTGGTCTTATTTTTCTCTATGGACAATGGATCATTTAATTTTGGTCTTAGATCAAGCAAAATTTTCATAAATCAAAGTATATTTTATTTAGGTTTTGACAAGTGCATCATATGGTTTACAGTATCAATGTAACACATTTTAATGACTTGGTGCTATTCTAGTGGGAACAAATAGTTGTATTGTCAAAATAGAAAGGAACACTTTCAACATGAGCTTTTTATTGTAAGTAACGTCAGGATCGTGATATCTATTTTAATCTAAAACATTTCCGTTCGCTAAAGCTGACGTCTTGTTTACGTTTCCGATGAAGTATTATCGTTTCAAACTCATTCGTTTTATTATCTCTGCTGTGAAACATCAGCTACTAATGAAACATGGACACATTTCAGTGGAAGTCGTTCAAACAAAACATTCAAACCAAAGAAGAATATCCCAGAAGGCACACATCAGTATGACTTGATGCGACATGCAGCAGCCACGCTAGGCTCAGGGAACCTACGCCTTGCGGTGATGTTACCTGAAGGGGAGGACCTGAATGAGTGGGTTGCTGTCAACAGTAAGTCTGTGTTTCTCTACCATAAGTTAACTATACTCTACATGTTATTGAAGGTCTTTAAAAAGTGTATTTTTTATAAATATTTTAGTAATGTGTAGTAGAATGCTGTTTCTTTTGTCAATTGGTGGCATGGACAACAAAGCAAGGGATTAGAGACTATTTGGTTCCTGGGCCAGGCCAAATATTATTGGGTTGACTTGCCGTTTTCTAAAAATGTCTCAGTAGTAGGCACCTGGAATTGTGCCTAGTTTATGAGAAGCCATCCCCTCTCACTCACACACTAATACCATGACAAGTGAGAAGTGGGTACACATTGTAACATGGTATTATGTGCCACTGTAGTATGCTGCTGCTTTTAAGGGATAAAAATAAGAACATAGGCATTGATTTTTTGAATAGTAACTGTCATGAAACACTGAATTTTTTGTAAGTAATGACTTACTCATTAATAAGAGCCCCATTGTGGCTTGAAACTAGTAGTGATTTGTCAGTTATTTCACATAAGTTGTTATTTTCAATAAAATAACCATTGATTAGTTGTCTCAAGCAGAGGCACAGGACATTTAAATTGCAGTACATGTAGCGCATTGTATTGTGTGCCATATAAGGAGAAAATATGATCACAAACAATGGCCAGTTAAGAATAATAATAATGTGTCTCTCACTCCTGGCCTGCCTTGATTTGCTTGTAGTGTGGACGCTGTTTGTCACCTGCTTACAATGCTTAGGTGGATCCTTAGCCAGATGCAAATTATCGGAGTAGATAGTAGTTTTCTTAGGTTTATTAGGTAGCAGTTTCTTCTCTCTTCAGCCACTATTTTACACACACAACTTGGGGCAGTGCTTATTAGCATGGTGTCTTGTGGCAGTAAACTTGCCCCTTAATGCTTGGCCTCTTGAGATATTAGTGAAAAGTGGGTGTTTTATTGTATGTGTGTGTACCATTGTCTACTAGGCACTTCATAGACACAACATGTGATGTATTATAGTGGTCAATGTTCTCACTTTATGACTTTAAACATTAGAACAAAACAGTCTGTCAGTACATGTGGAAAATGACTCCTCCATTGTTTGGTCTGCAGTACTGTAGTAGGTATTCAGTATGGATAATTATATTATATTACATCTAGTCAACCAATAATGCTGTTGAGCTTGTGTTGTGTAGTGTAGAGTACTGACTATGTAGAGTAATATGTTGCGAGTGAGTCACAGTTATCCTTGTCATTAGTGTTAGCTTCAGTAAATAAGCAAACATTTACTAAATTATGTATTTGTGTAATGCCTCTATAATTTGTCATAAATAATTTATTACTGATTGTCACTAGCTTACAGTCCATCAACCATACTTCCTGTTGTGGTTTCCTCTACAAACGTGGAAAATATTCATAAAATAAAACAACTGTACATATAATTCAACACAAAAAAGTTCTATTGGATTTTGAAGACTCTCGTTCATTCTCATCCATCACCATTATTCTTCAATTATCAAAATTAACTATTCCAACTGGGATGATTTACTGCAAACGATCGACGCACGATTATATAGGTTGCGAGCGACTGTAGTGTTTTAGATCTATTAAGGGCTGATTTTTCAATAGTCAGATAAATGTTATCTGAGGAATAAAATTGTTGCTATCACTGTCTTATACAAACATTCTGACGCGACAGCATCATAATTATTTCCCAGGTAACTTTTATCTAGCCATTGAAAAATCAGTGCTAAAGCTAAATAACGCTATAACGCCCGCTAATTCCAAACACCTAAACTGCTTCACGCTTTTCCACTATCAATAAATAGGCTGTAACTCCCACTTGTGTGTCGGCAGCCGTGGACTTCTTCAACCAGATCAACATGCTGTACGGCACCATCACGGAGTTTTGCACGGAGGAGTCGTGCGCCGTGATGTCGGCGGGGCCCAAGTACGAGTACCACTGGGCAGACGGGCACACTGTTAAGAAGCCCATCAAGTGCTCCGCGCCCAAGTACATCGACTATCTGATGACGTGGGCGCAGGACCAGCTCGACGACGAAACTCTATTCCCGTCCAAAATAGGTACCTGCCGCACTCATTGCATTGCTGTGTCCACGTGGCTAGTGTAGCCGGTGGCCACGGACGAGTTGAGTAACCCTGCGTGTTGCAGGCGTGCCGTTCCCCAAGAACTTCCTGCCGATGGCGAAGACGATCCTCAAGCGACTGTTCCGCGTGTACGCACACATCTACCACCAGCACTTCCCCGAGGTGGTCCAGCTCGGGGAGGAGGCGCATCTCAACACCTCCTTCAAACACTTCATCTTCTTTGTGCAGGTGCGCTTCTTGTTCACTCCTTACTATAATGCTGTAGGGGCAGGGTGAGTTCGCGGATTCACTGATGAATTGTCACAGTAAGTGATGGAAAAAACATATAAAATAATAATAAAATACACAATAAGCGAACGAGTAATGAGTAATTTCGCCACTAAAGAATGCACTTGGTTCGTGCCAGGGACGATACTAATAACTTCTTTATCTGCAAAACGAAAAATTATTTATCATAATGGAAATGATTTTACGACATTTGTCTACGTTATGTTAAGTGTGGGAGAGCCATGCTTCGGCACGCATGGGTCGGCTCGACCGGAGTGATACCACGGCCTCACAGAAAACCGGCGTGAAGCAACACAGCGTTGTGTTTAGCCGTGTGAGTGAGGTTACCGGAGACCCAATCCTTCCCCTACCCCGACCCTTCCCCAATCCCAAAATCTCCAAATTCCTAATCCCTGAAAAGTCGGCAACGCACTCGTAACTCCTCCGTTGCATCGTCCATGGGCGGCGCTGATTGCTTACCATCACGTAATCCGTCTGCTCGTTTGCCGACTTATTTCATAAAAAAAAAACGTTGGGTAGGAGCCAGTGCCCACTCTAGCTCGGGACTCGCACTGCTTCGTGAAGTTTGATTGGTTGTATCAACCCTGTGTGGACGAGACCCAGGTACTTCGTCAGCGGCGAGACGAGACGCTTTCTGCCGGTGAAGCAAAATGCACGGTCTCAACCAAGCCGGGCTCGCTGTTATACCGCTGCTGGGGTTAAGATTCTCTTTGAGTTTTCTTCATCTGTATAGTAGTCATACTCATAAAGGAGGCAGCGGAGCGCGTGAGGGAACGATCCTCCTCACGCACCACAAGAGACACTCAGAGTAATGTTGTGGCGTGAATGATTTCGGCCAATATAAGCACGCAGGTGGAGGTTCCGCCCAGCCAAACAGGCCGCGCAAACAGGTCTCTTGTACATTAAAATGTAGAATTGGACTCGCAAAAATTGCTTACAAATAGAATCTGCTGTAGTTCATATTTAATTTAAAGGCCATTAACGGCCGGATCTAATAATATGACCGATCTCAATCCAAAATCATTGAATTAACATTGAGTTTTGACATTTTGCAGGAGTTCAACCTAATCGAACGGCGGGAGCTGGCGCCGCTCCAGGAGCTGATCGAGAAACTCACAGCCAAGGAGGCGCGATGAGCGGCGCGGGCCTGCGGCGGCCCCCGGCCCTATCTGGCCGCTGCCGTGCCTCGCAGTGTTGACTGCTTCCTCGACCGAAGCTCACCTCGAATTGTCGACAAGTTTGATTATTTGCTAATTCTGTATAGTAAACACTTTGTTTCGTCAGCACGTGGCCGCCGTCGGGCCCTTGCAGTGCTACGGTTTGTGATATGAGACTCGGACCGTCCACGCGGTCGGGACGTGGCTACAGTGGGCTACACAGATAAGGCCTTCCTATACAATAATGTTTATATTTAGATACAATTAAACTTTGTACTTTAGTTTTGATACATGAAGTATAATGATAGTATATTTAAGGGAACACTTGTGAAATGTTTGCGCCACGTATACATCACAGCGGTTTCATTTGGCACCAGTAGATGCGAGTGCACCAGTTGGGGGCAGTGACCCCTTGTATTTATATTTGGTCTGTGGCACGCAAGCTTCAAACGTCATGTCGCTGGATGCCGACTGGCTGTCGGATGTATGGTAGGGCCGCTCACTGCGGGGCGGTATGTTAAATTATTTTTATTTATTGTAGCTTAAGGTGACGGTATTTTCAAAACGATCGCGCGGGCATTTACTTTATAGTTTTTCGAGAAGTATACGATACTAATTGTTTCGAAATGATAACCCGAAGAAGCGGCCTGTTTTCTTACATATCCAAAGTCTCATATATACAGATGTAACAGTGGGTCCGTGCTCTCAGCTCTCAATGTGCCCTATATTTCAGGATGTTGGTGTGCGCCATTATCACAAAATAATTAGATTTGGACAACATTTGGAAATTGACAATTTTTGTAATTTCATCATCTTTGGGCGAAATAAGAAATGTATCATTAAATCGCTTTGTATTTCAGTAATAGTGCAAATTTATAAGAGACTTGAAACACGATGGATAAAGCTCGAGAGTATTAAAGGTATGTAAAGATTTGAACTCTCCATCAGCCTTGGCAATATTGTACTAAGAAATTTTGCTCAAAAGTGTACTTATACCACGAAAGCCGAATAAGTCACTTGAACCACAGTGAACAGACCGACCTAAATCATTTACACTAACCGTTTGCGCGATCGTCCCGCAAAATATCGTGACCGCTTAGTCTATTCATTTCAGCGACAAGACTTCGTGTACGCGACTCTAACATGATCGTTTAACGAATGCTATGATAATCTCCTGTAGTATGAATATATGATTATTTTACAGTTACGTTGTGCATTTAATAATTTCATTTCTTGTTCACATCGATCTATTACGACTGACAAGTGTAACGTATTTTATTTAAATTAGACAATTACCGAATAAAACGAAAGTTTTTATAAAATGGGAATGTTTTATTTTATTATTAGCTATTATTATATAAAAATATACTTCCACATTACCTGTCTCCTGAGCTATTGAAAAAATAATAAACATGCAAGGTCAGTTGATGAATTTTATAGTTGTTCATTGGGACATTCGAGGATACGGATTACCTGCTAGCTCCTGCTAGTAAGCAATCAGTCAATTACAATGGACATACAGGAGCTTTAGGGATATAGCGAATGAGAGCAGGATGGGGATGTGCCTTTGAACAATTTGTTTTTTTTATATGATAGGACGGCAATCGGGCAGACGGAGCAACTGCTGGTAAGCAATCAGCGCCGCCCATGGAAATCCGGCCCCGTCCAGCTGATATCTTTAACAAAGGCATCAATAAGCTACCAATACGTTGGCAAACATGCATTGATTGCATAAGCCAGCCTATCCTAACATTTTATAAAAAGAATAGAAAACAAATATATTTTATTTAATGAATGTATTAGGAAAATGAACTGTAGGAATGGTGGATTTGCTCCATAATAAGAAGTGGATGTGATGAGAGGGAGTAACTTTAGTAATGAAACGGACTGCAAGGAATTTATTGAAAGTCGAGGGTTACACATTTATGGTAGATACATACACTGTTGGTAATGAAGTTAGATATTTTTTTACAATTTTTTTAGTAATAAGTAAGGTATTTGACGCAAAAATGCTACGACGTCATAACTCAGTGTTTCATACAAATTTCATAAAAAAGTATCGTTTTCGATATTTTGAGAAAAGGATTTTTATTTATTTATTTATGGTCTGCCAACAGTTGTTACAGTAACGTTTGTATAGTGTACAACACAGAACAGGTGTACAATCTGGTTATAAGTATGACTGCACAACCAATTATGGGCAAACACCGCATGCTTTGGATATTTGCCTTTTCAAAGGGAGAATAAATAAAGTAAATCTTAAAACAAAATTATCTTAAATAAAAAACATATTTAACTTAAATAATGTGTACAAAAAATATAAAAATAATGTTATTAGATAAGGCTATTTATTTGACCGGTTAAATAAAATCGCATGCTATAAAAATCAAAGCACGATCGATTGGGTATAGCATCATCAAGCGGGACACGAATATTACTCCAAGACGCGTGAAAAGTACTGGACATTGTCTGTGTGCACGTCACTGTACTCGTTGACAAGCTCACAGAGGCGTGGTATTGGTTCGTTATTGGAGTTTGCACCGAACTTTGTGCGTCGAAGTGGAGGGACCAGAGGTGTTATTGGTTTTACAGGTGGTTTGCGCGGTACTCTAAAATTAAATTTATGTAAGACCTGTAAGCAATCAATTTTGTTAGTTAAAATCTTGTGTACGAATCGAAGGTCCAGTGAGTCTCTAGCTACGTTTACCGAGGGATATCATGTTGAATAGCTTGAGTTTAGTTGTATACGAAGTTTCTTTTGTATTGATCTAAGCGGAGTATACAAGGTGGTTTAAAAACCTTTTCTGGATTCGTTCAAACCGAAGCGAGTGAACCGCGTAATGAGGCTACCAAACGACGCTACAGTACTCTAGAACACTGCGCACTTGACAAGCGTACAGTATTATTTTTGTGTCTGCATTACGGAAATTCTTGATGCTGCGAATGACAAATCCCAAAGTTCGCAATGCCCTTTTACAATACCGTCAATATGTGGAATAAAGGTTAATTTAGTTTCCAAAATGACACCGAAGTCTCGAACCTCACGTACTTACTTTGACCAAAGGGGTACCGTTAATGTTGTAAGAAGAGTTAACGTTGTGTAGTTTACGGCTGAATTTGATGTGAGTGCACTTCTTGCAATTAAGTTCTATTTGTTTTAATATGCACCACTCGTACAGTCTGTTAATGTCATGTTGCATCAGTATAGAGTCGTTAGTAGATGTAATAGTTTTAGCAACTTTGATTTTGTCAGCAAAGAAAAATGGAGCAGTGTGTTTAAAACATGATGTGAAATCATTTATAAACATGTTAAATAAGACAGGTCCCATGTGTGAACCTTGGGGAACCCCATATGAAATGCTATAATGAGAGGACTGATAGTCAGTCATTCGCAACAACATAGAATTCCCTGTCACTCAGGTAGGACCGAAGCCTATCCAGAAGTGATCCCGCTATACCGTACATTTTTAGCTTAATAAGAAGTACTACTTGGGATACCTAGTCAAATGCCTTGCTTAAGTCAGTGTATATAGCATCAACCTCCGCATCTCTGTCTAGGGTTTCAGTAATAAATTCAACATAAGAGGCCAGATTAGTACCAGCTGAACGACGTTTTATAAATCCGTGTTGCTGTAATTCACAAAAGACTAACGCTGTACACACGAACACAGCAAAGCCTCTAACAGATATAGGAAGTATCGAGATGGGCATATAATTGGTAACTAGGCTGCTGTCACCTATAGTGTCTGTCACGCTCTTGAATATAGGCACCATCTTGGCCAGTCTCCATTGTTTAGGGAAGCAGCCGGAGCTCAAGGACAGGTTAAATATTATTTTTAACGGTAATACGACATTGGATGCACTGTGGACAAGCAATAATGGGGGAATGCCATCGGGGCCAGCCCCTTAATTAATCTCTCAGCTTTTTAGTTTTTTAAGAATTTCCTCTTCACCCAACGACTTGGAAAATTCAATACTTCCATCGTATATTTTTGCAAAAGTCGAAGCAAAAAGGGTGCATATATCGGCACCTTCAGTTGCTATCTCAGTTCCATTGGACATTGTAACTGGTATACAGCTTTCGCCTTTCCGTTTGTTTCTGATGTAACTCCAGAATCGTTTTGGATTCTTCCGAATTTTCTGAGCTTTGGACGTAATGGTTGTAACCATCTCTTGCTAGGTTGCTACATCGTTTATTAATTAATTTAAGTGAAATGCCATCTAAAGGGTTGCGATATTTTCTGCATCTAACCCGAAGTTTGATCTTTTCCTTTAACAATGGAGACAATTTGGGGCTAAACCATGCTGGACAACGATGTTTGTTATTGCGTCGCAATGGGACAAATGTATATAATATTGTCCAAAGCGTACTGTAAAATGTTTCAGTCGTCGTTGACATTTGTACAATCGGCGATAAAATCTGGCCAGTTCTGTTGACTTAATCTTTCATTAATTTATTTGTAATCTGCTCTGAAAAAGTTGCATCTATTATTAGAAATATTAGACTTAAGCTTTGATACATCAGTTAACGTAAATTCTAAATATAACGGTGGGTGATGGTGGTCAATATGCGTCAAAGGCTCTGTTTCCTTAACGCAACAACCTGGAACATTGGTCAGGACAATGTCAAATAATTTATTGCTTTAGTTTTTAATATTAATACATTGGCGGAGACTATTGACTGTCACAAAGTCGATTAAAATTTCGCCAATCGCGGTAGTATTTCACTCAGCAGTACACCGGTTAATCACAGTCCAATTAATCGTGCTAACGTTAAAATCACCCACGATACTGTAGTCATTACTGCTATCCATATGTGCATTACAATTGGCAGCATAGTGTTCAAGTACTGCCCTCGAAACTCACACATTTTGATAATATAGATAGAAGGGAAGAGATTTTGCCTTGTGATGTTTTCACCGGAAAGCAGTCAGCGGCTGTGGAAGAATATGTTTGCAAAACATACCGAGGCATTTTCAGCATTCACGAGTGGTAGGCGAAAAATGGAACATATCACACGAAACGGTTATCGTGTGCTATGTTGTTGGATAGGCATTCAAAAATGAATGAGGTTTACTGAGATATTTTTTTTTTGATAAATAACGAATACCTACCTACGGTAGTTTCCAACTAGTCAAATTCAATACTTTTATCCAATTTATTAATTTATCCAAATGTCAAAAACTATACTTTTCTATGGTATGAAACACTGAGTTATGACGTCATAGCATTCTTACATCAAATAGCTTACTCATTTCTTAAAAATTAGCTAAAACTATCTAATATTTAGTATATCGATCGAACAATGAACAAAAGTATAGTTATTTTTCAATATTTTATTGTATTGAAACGTCGATTTAATTTATTTTTGATCTAGGAAACTACCCAGTTATTAAAATCGGTGTACGGAATCCAAAATTACCAACCCGTCTAGTTTGTATTAATTAGTATCCCTAAGAGCTGGCGCTGTAGTTTTGCTACTTTACAATAACCCACTTATTGTGACAGACGGAAAGTACGGAACTCTATACTGAGCGTAGTGCGAAACGCTCTTGGCCGGTTTTTTGAGATAGGACGGCAAACAAGATCACGTATTACCTGATGGTAAGCAGTCAGTGCCGCCCATGGACACCCAGCTACAGCGGAGGAGCTGAAAGTGCGTTGCCGACATTTTGGAGATTAGGAATTTGCAGCCTAGTCGACGCTGTCGACGCACAAGTTTCCAAAATATAGTTTACAATGCAGGTACGTAATACAACATTATAAGTAGTATATAATATATATTTTTTAATATAATTCTTTTACCAAAACCTTTTACCTACGATATAGTGCAGCAGCGTCCGACGCGATAGATGTAAGGAAACAAAAGCATTTGATAATTACATTTAATTGTAATAGACAATGTGAAATGTATACGGCGCGCTAGTCTTGCGAGGCGGGCGGCGGCGGCGGCGGCGGCGCCAGGAATGCGGGCGGGGGCGGAGCACCCCACGGCGGCGGGTTGTACGCGCCGCGCCAGCCCAGGCCCAGCATGCCTGCAGACCAATACTGGCTTATACTACTCACACGTTGTCTAATATCGTCTAGCGCAATCAATTTATTTCATAAAAGACTAGACAATTTACTAATAATAATAACCTTCCAGTGTCACATAGTCTAATTGCGGAAACGATTCTCTTAGATAAATAAACTATAGTAATAGCAGGCAAACCAAAGAAATAATTAAATAATGAAAAAAATGAAGCTTGGGAAACATTGATTTCGTTATTTGTTGCCATGAAATACTTACCGGGCGGTGGAGGCGGCATGTGTGGGCCCCCGGGCCCCACGGCGGGGGGCGGGCCCATCTTGCCGTCACCCTGCAAGAGCACAACGATTGCAATCAACACTACACATTATGCGACATTCTGCATGGAAACGGCGGAACCAGCATAAATCAAAGTAGGCGACTGCATTAGATTAAGTAACACAGTCAATGTCAGAGTCGGTGTGTCGCAGTTTCAGGGTAGATGTATTATTACATGCATTGTGGCGGTACATAGTTATCTCAAAGAGCTACTTTTATGACAGTAGTAAAGGGGCGCAGTACCTGATGCGGCGGCGGAGGCGGCGGCGGGTAGGCAGGCAGTGGCGCCGCGCCCGGCGGCGGCGGAGCCCCCGGCACTGGAGGCTGCGCCCCCGCAGTCGCACCTGCCGGACCGTATAACAACATTACACAATACATGGCCACGCTAGTCACGTGGGTGCTGCATTCATTACAAAAAGTTATTTCCTGATGTTTGAGCAATTAAAGAAAGAAAACAAAAGTGAAACGAGTAATTAGTGGATACACGTACCGAGCCAGGGCGCCTGCGCGGCGGCAGGCGGCGGGGGCGCGGGCGCGCCGGGCGGGGGCGCGGGGGCGCCCGGCGGCGGCGGCGGCGGGGGCGGGAACGCGCCCAGCTCGCCTGCAAGCGACGACTTCCTTATAGCTGGCACTAGGCCGTGTGCTCACTGACCAGTACTCGACTGGCCGACTATCGTTTAACGCCCGCAGCTAGCCCACGTAACGCGGACTGGCCGCGCGCGGTACTTGTATACTTCATATGAAAACTGTATTCAGGTTGTTTCTCTGTCTATTTAGTGGATTATTTCTTCTCACACAATTGAACGAATTTAATAATGTAATCTTTAAATTTATTGGTAAACGATCAAAAAGATAAACCGTGGCGTTTCTTGTTCTACACTTTGCGACAATGACGATATAACCACTTGACGGCGCATACAGTGCCGCTCGAAAACGATTAGTGTTTTGTCGCCTATGTCTAGCCCTATGGTACTAGTAAATGACCATTTAAATATGTCCAAGTGAATAGACCTCTATGCACGCAAAATAAAAACATTTTTTTCCTTACATTTCTAATCCCTTTCTTTCCCTTTGATTTTTTCGTAAAAATTTGTGCAGTTATTTTTGAAATTTGAATAGATGGAATCGATGTCGATAATAATAGAATTTAATTAAGAACAATTTCTGTTACAAAATATAGGTAAATATTTCAGGAATTTTTCAAATGTACAATGCTTCCGGATTACTGGAAGACGGCTTCACTAATTTGGAAAACATATTTTTTTCTCTGTTGATAATATAAAAATGAATAGATATACATACGTAATGTATAGTCAACATCGATAAAACCATTTTATCGATATAAGCTATTTTCCCCCTTAAATCAAGTAGCTCATCCCTAACGACAGCCTATGCACACGACGTAAACTGACCAATTGCAGTCGTCCCCGGCCCGCGATAGTGAGTCGTGTGCTTAGAAGAAATCGGCCTATAAGCTCTCTAGTGGTTATATCCTCTATGCTTTGGAACCAGCACAAAGCTTCATTAGGAGCCTCACCGACATGTTGCCTTTTCTTAGCCTAATTTAACTTTTCTCGTGGTAATTCGAGATACAGTAGAAGCTAATAAGTACGCGAACGCTGGCGTTCGGTTCGTTTACTGAATGGGTTTCAGTTATTATCTGTGTAATGCAACATAAATAAATAAATATTAAACTTTATTATATTATCACTAAGCCATAAACTATTAACTAGTATTACGAGGGATGCCTACAGGGTTTGCATTCATTACAAAAGTTATTTTCTGATATTTGAGCAATCCTGTTTTGAAATTATGTCTACGACCGACGATAAAATAAACAATTGCCATCATCACTATTAAAATATTGGCTTGTCAAATGAATGTTAACGTAGTAAATACTTACGTGCGAGGGGGGGCGCCATGATGGGCCGCGGCGGGGCGTGCGGCGCAAATAGTCCGGCGCCGAACCTGCGCGCCGCGCCCCCCGCGCCCCCGCCCCCGCCGCCCGGCGCCGCCTCGCCCAGCTCTGCCATCAGCGACAGGTACTCTTCATCTATCTTAGCCTGCACATATCAAAAGGAGGGCAGTGAGGCAGAGATATAACCAGAGTTACCTTGTTGGAGGCGGAGTGCAGAGTGCCCTGGCCGGGCCGCTTGGCCCTGCAGTCGCGAGAGTTACCTTGTTGGAGGCGGAGTGCAGAGTGCCCTGGCCGGGCCGCTTGGCCCTGCAGTCGCGAGAGTTACCTTGTTGGAGGCGGAGTGCAGAGTGCCCTGGCCGGGCCGCTTGGCCCTGCAGTCGCGAGAGTTACCTTGTTGGAGGCGGAGTGCAGAGTGCCCTGGCCGGGCCGCTTGGCCCTGCAGTCGCGAGAGTTACCTTGTTGGAGGCGGAGTGCAGAGTGCCCTGGCCGGGCCGCTTGGCCCTGCAGTCGCGAGAGTTACCTTGTTGGAGGCGGAGTGCAGAGTGCCCTGGCCGGGCCGCTTGGCCCTGCAGTCGCGAGAGTTACCTTGTTGGAGGCGGAGTGCAGAGTGCCCTGGCCGGGCCGCTTGGCCCTGCAGTCGCGAGAGTTACCTTGTTGGAGGCGGAGTGCAGAGTGCCCTGGCCGGGCCGCTTGGCCCTGCAGTCGCGAGAGTTACCTTGTTGGAGGCGGAGTGCAGAGTGCCCTGGCCGGGCCGCTTGGCCCTGCAGTCGCGAGAGTTACCTTGTTGGAGGCGGAGTGCAGAGTGCCCTGGCCGGGCCGCTTGGCCCTGCAGTCGCGAGAGTTACCTTGTTGGAGGCGGAGTGCAGAGTGCCCTGGCCGGGCCGCTTGGCCCTGCAGTCGCGAGAGTTACCTTGTTGGAGGCGGAGTGCAGAGTGCCCTGGCCGGGCCGCTTGGCCCTGCAGTCGCGAGAGTTACCTTGTTGGAGGCGGAGTGCAGAGTGCCCTGGCCGGGCCGCTTGGCCCTGCAGTCGCGCGCGATGTGTCCGGCCCCGCCGCACGACGAGCACACGATACTGTTGGTCACGTTGGGTTTGTCCGGGCACTGCACACGTTACAACGGGGCACAATAAACTAACGCTCACTTTATACTACTACCACTTTATTAACAACCATTCAGTGGGCCGACTACTAACCGAAAATATCAAGTCAATTTTAGTAACTTTATAAACTTTAGTAAAACAAGAATTAGGCGAATGAATTATATTTTTAATTTACATCGCTTTTATCTTTTCTAACCTTTGAATATTTCCGTTATTTTTTCGGGGAGGTTTGGAAACTTGTGGATACGATAGCAACTTTTATAAGTTTTTGAATCGTTATATATCAGAAAGGTTCGTCGTTAAATAGTTGTATTCGGATGGCGCAGTACTCACGAGCCAGGTCTTGTGGTCGGTGGCGGAGCAGTTGGCGCAGCGCACGGCGTCGTTCTCCCGCAGCGTGCCGTTGAGCTGCGCCAGCTCGCGGAGCTGCATGCGGCGCAGGTCGTTCTGGCCCTCCGGCACTTCCACGCCCTGCCGGATCACCTCCTTGATCTGCCGACATCCAGCGAGGTCACTACGTGCGCGGGGCCGGGACCGAGGGGAGCGGGGGATTAGGAGGGAGATGGGCTCTTACTTTCTCGACGGCTTTTTTGACGCAGTCGGCGTTGGTGGCGGTGATATAGGCGTGGAGCGGCTCGTCCTCGCCCGGCAAGGGCTGTCCGTCCTTGCGGCCGACCTTGCCTTCCTTCACCGATCCCTTGCCTCGAATTATTATCTTGGCGCCGGTCTCCTTCTCCATGGCTGCGACGAAACGAACGAATAACATTAAGACGCACAGTGAGCGGACGCGCCGAACGCAACGGTGGAGCTGACCTTTAAGCGTGTTGCCGCGCGGTCCAATGAGAAGGCCCACGAAGTTGATGTCCGGGTGCTCCTCCTGCGGGATCATGACCTTATCGTGCACGCGGATGATAGGAGGCCTGGGAACACAATAGAGTGAGATGAGACAGGGCCCGACGAGCGAGGCGCGCCGGGCGGAGGAGCGGACGTACTTGTAGTCGGGCGGGGGCTTGAAGTCGGGGTTGATCTGGTGCATGCGCGTGACGAGGCGGTGGCGCTCCTCCTCCAGCTTGCGGCGCGTGCGGTACTCGCGCGTGTTGAGCCGCTTGCCGTCCGTCGAGTAGATGGGCTCCGGCGACGGGGACCTGCCACACACACAGTCAGCGCGCCCCGCGTCCCCCCGCCCCGGGGGCGCCGGGGGCGCACTCTTATCCTACTCTACCACCTAGATCCTATCGCTCGGGAAAAATAATTCAATTAATTCGTTCCTGAAATTTTAAGGATGCTTATTAGCCCTGAAAATAATTTATATTAATACGATTGAGCTGTAGTGGCTGAAAATTATTAATGAGTTTAATTAATTAATTGAATCATTAGTATTAATCTGTATGCGACCTGCAAATAGAAAATCGCGCATTAGTAGTAAGGCTGGGACGCTGCACGCTCCGCGAGACACATCGGGGACTCGGGGGTGGGAAGGAGGGATGCCGCCTCGTGAACGTCACTCAGTTGCTGCCTATTTGTAAATATATTACTCCGCACTCATTTTACACCCAGACCCAATCCAAATCTTTTAGAATCACATAATTAATTATTGCGAGAATCGAACCCGTGACACGCTGCGCAGTTTTTGCGCCACTTGGAATCACAATTTGATCAGAGCTTTATTTCCCTGTCATCCATATGAAGGTTGGGTATTTCGGTTGAGGGTTAGTCGTCTTAACGAATGGAGGTGCGAGTGCGTGCAGAGTCCCCGTCCGGCGGCCGTGGGAGAGGTACGGTGAGGGTAGAGGTGGTAGAGTGGGTGAGTTACCTCTCCTCGATGTTGGCGGGGATGCCGAGGTCTCCCGAGCGCAGCTTGCGCGACACCTCCTCGATCTGCAGCTGCACTGCAAGGGAACGGGTTAGCCAACCGCGGCCATACCGCAGCATTAGTATACTGACCTAATTGGCGACTAGCGCCCACACTCGCCACTACCGACCTCTAGCGACCTCTAGCGACCTCTAGCGACCTGCGGCTGCGAGTACTTTATTTCTGTTAGTTTGTTTCAACATAATATATATTTATACAAATTTAATGCGACATAGGTATTGTCAGCTGATACCATAAATGCATCAGTCCAGGTACGTACATACAGCATTTGTAAAGCAGTGCCTGGTGGAGGCTGCGGCGGGACAAGACTGCGCATCGAGTGTCACCGTTTGCAAACATTACTTCCCGACACAGTATGGGACCGCAGTCCACACATACGCGGGGATTCAGTCGTGCCTCGGAAAGCAAGTAAAGCCGTTGCTTTTGGAATGCAGAATCTTTCAAATATTGAGTCGACTAACAGAGTACAGTACTATTCACTAGTCGTTGAAAGTAAGTCACACACAATAGCAGTTTGTGCCAACAATGGACCAAAAACTTTGCAACATTATTAAAGTGTTGTATTTGAAAATAAAAAAGTTATACTTCATGAGATAAAGAACTAAATTCAGTTGCAGATTGACAAAAGAATTCTATGCATGAAACAATGTAGCACAATAGAGATGTTTCCATTTAGTTAAATTAATTAAAATTGAGTGTGTCCAATGATTTTGTGAGAATTAGTAGTTCTCATTAGTAGTTCTCTTTAATTTCTGTTTCACTTTAATCTATTCATTTTGAATAGATTGCATAGTTACATTAATGCATTGTTGACTGAGGAAACATATCCATTATAAGTGTATATAGACTTGTTGTTTCAGAGATGTGGTACTGTCCCTGCCGGACGTGGCGTCTGCCCGGGCATGGTACGGCGCAGTAGCGACGGCACAGGACAGGCAATGCGGCGCCGCGGTGCGCTGCGGCCCCTCGGCGCCCTACTGCAACATCAAGTGCATTATGCGGCCGGGGATAGGGGGCGGTACTCACGCAGGTACTGCTCCTCCTGCTCCCGCGTCAGCGTCGAGGGCAGCACGGTGGGCAGGCCGGGGATAAAGGTCTTGTCGTGTTCGGAGCCCATCCAGCGGGTGCGGCGGCGGCGCGCGCGTCGCTCCGCCGCCGTCTCCCCGGCCGGGCCCAGCCCGTCGTCCTGGTCGTCGTCCGGGTGGTAGTCGTGCGGGCGCTCGGCGCGGTCGGCGCGCTCGGCGCGCTCGGGGCGGTAGCGGCTGTCGGCGCGCGCCTGCAGCAGGTCCAGCTTCTGCTGGACGGAGGTGGGCGGCGGGATGGCCGTGGCGGCCGACAGCGCCGCCGCCGCGGCCGCCGCGGGCTGGACGGGCGCCGCCATGCGTCGCTGCGCCACAAACGTCTGTTACGCCGCGCGCAACACCCGTACAATCGTCAACAAAACCAAAATAAACAAAACCAACAGAACGCGTCTATCGCGCCCAAAAAAACCAAATGATTTAAAAAAAAAAACCAAACGATATCAACTTTCTATATAGGAATAAAACTAAAAGATTAGGGAATAAGAAAATTAAACCCATGTTATTTTGTTTGCTTTATGTATCGTTTTTTTCTTTTTCTCTATAATTTTATTATTTCTGTGTAAACGTAACTGGATCAAATCCATGTTAATGTAAATTATATAAATAAATAGAGACATATTCCATCATAGTGATGAAATCATAATTAATTTTAATAAGCCTAACCATGCAATGTACCAATTCTATATAGTCACCACCTATCACATTTGCATATTATATAAGTTTATGTTTATGCAAAACTAAAACATAGGATTTAAACAAAATTATTCCAAGAAATGTCACTGACTTACAAATGAATGCCTATGGTACAAAAACACATGTTACTATTGCCAGCATATAGATTTACTGAAGTCATGCCTACCTATACATAGAGATGAATAATAGATTTATAAATTACACAATGTAAGGACAAAAAAATATAATAAAACATTTTGTTATAGAAGTGTGGAAGAGACCTGTGCGACGGCAGCGGCGGCGAGGATGGCAGCCTGTGTGGCCGGGTTGATGGCACCATTGCTGGTCACCTGGCGAGCTGTCGCCTTGGTCGTGGTGCCAACCATCTGGTCCAGCAGGGCAATTGTTCCATCTCTGCAAGCAAAGGACTCATAAACATTGCTTACATTGCCACTTGTCATGTTTTGGAATAATTTCTATAATGAAAAACTTAACAATGTTAATGATTACTAGAAACAGCACTGGCAACAAAACTAAACTCAGAAGTGTAATTTAAACGTAAGAGAACTGATGTGTTTTAGATATATTGCCTGTCTTTAGACTTCCGGCTGCGACTGCGGCTCCGTGTGCGCGAGCGAGTGCGGCTGCGGCGCTTGTCCTTGTGGCGGTCGCGGCTCCGGCTGCGCTCGCGCTCCTTGTCTCTGCAGAACACACCAGCTGTTATAATGTACTGGCCACTTTAGGTAGACACACAGACACGTAATCACGTACCTCTTAGAGCGGTGGCGGTCCCGGTCGCGATCCCTGTCCCTATCGCGATCGCGGTCACGGTCCCTATCTCGGTCACGTTCGCGATCCTTGTCGCGGTCTCGGTCTCTGGTCTTCTCGCGGTCCCGTTCCTTATGCCTATCCCTCTCGCGATCACGAGATCTAGAACGACTTCTGTCGCGTTCACGATGTCTTGAACTCATTGCGAATTAGATTGCCTTTAACAACACTTATAGATACAGGTGCAGGGACCACAGTTTTCCTTATTTATATATATATATTGCTACTATTATTTTGCCACTATATAATAGAAAAGCAAGTTCCAATTGAATTAAATTAAAAGAACACGGCGTTTGTACAGCATCGTTTTAGTCATGTATTTATGTCAAGTCAATCCAATCCACTCCACTCATTGAGATAGAAAATATATAGAGGCGCCGTGTTACTATAGAAGTATACATGCTTATACAAATATGAGGGAAATATGAAACAGACTATGAAATATCATTTTTTCTCACTCTTTCTAAGGCAATAATTGTATTAGACAAAAGGGACAACAATATTTAAGTTGTTGCTTTATATGGAAACAAATCATTTTGACATTAGCAAAGTTGTAGGTAAGTGCCATGTCCGCCATCTTAAGCGCTCAGAGTACCTGAGTTTCATGGTAGTTGTCCTGTCAAACGGTTGTTTATGTTTTAAATTATTGCGGTTTTTCAGTAAATTACAAAGAACCATTTTTTTAAACTTCAAATATATATAGTGAAACAAAAAAACAATATGCCTGTGTGTTGTATTGTGCAGTGTGGTGCAAAAAAGAACGAAAATCAACCTCAATTGTCTTTGTATAGGTTAGTAAACAGTTTTCATCAAATATTACTTAGAATAATCCACATAGATAGAAAAAAATGTCACGGATACTTTAATCTATTGGCAAAGTATATATATTTACTTTTATTTCTGTCTGTGAGACAGTTTTAGTAAAAAAATGTTGTTTACAATAATATGTCAATATGGCATAGTTACGTACCATTTCACATAAGTATCGATATAATCTCCCATTTAAAATTCAACATATACTAAATAATCTATTTTAACAATGGATGTTTCCGCAGTTTTGTGTAACGCTAAAGTAAGACGTCAGTATTTTGGTATTGGTTTTAGTTACATATTTAGAAGTTCAAATTATCATGTTTTATAATTATACGGGCGCGATTGACAGAGCGGCGTTGGCGACGATCCCAGTGCGACCACCAAGCGTACTAATAAAAAGTGAGATACATACAATAAGATTGACTTCACTACATATCTATTTTGTGCTAACGTAGTTTCGAAGATATCATCGTTTAATCAGACGCGCCGATATTGTGCGCGAGCACTTCACAAATACCCACAGGTTTTCCACATATATAAAGATAAACATTTAACAAACACTATCTTTTTCTATTTCACCATTCCATTAAACGCTGTTCATAAACACAGTCCTATTTTTTTAAAAGACGCTTTACGTAGAATTATATGAATACAAATTCGACTTGAGAAAATCATTAGCCAATCAAGAGACCAAGTTAACCCCGGGTTCCGGGCTCTAGCTAGGCCGACGGCAAAGTAGGAACAGGAGTTGATTTTAGTCAGTAACGGTCTGTCCCGAAAAAGGCCGGAGATGACATTAGATGATTTCCCATAAAAAATACCGTTAATCAGCTGGCTAATCCCTAAAACTATACCTACGTAGAACTTTTACTCAAATTGTATCGATACTCGTTAAATACTTAGTCGGCACAACCCTAGCAACGGCAGCCATCTTATGCGACATTTTGAATTGTAGGTAGGCACCTTTTTTTCGTAGGTATTTCAAGTCCATATATTTCCTATGTCAATGACTCCACTCAAACAGCGAGCTGTCACTCTAGTGTCTATGTCTAGTCTACGGTATAATTTGCACTTTTTGATCTTGAATCTCAATCTTTTAAGGTCCCTAATCGCAAATGGCTGTGATATCTATAAAAGTTAAATAAAATGAATATGAGAAGGTTGCATTGCATTTACTGACTTTAATTGATTTACCTTTTTACTTATCACAGGAAAACGAGTGGGGCGTAACGCAACCTAATGATAGCCTCAATTACACGGCAAAAAAACGTGAGACAACGCTTTTGTTTCACTTGCTTGCTTTTCTATGAGACCTAAAGAGTAAAGTAATATAGAGGGTAATGATACCATTATCATGGGAGTCGTCGAGGAAGCCCATTTGAAAGTACGGAGGATAAACATTAGATATTTATTGTTTTTATGGGATAATTCGGCAAACGAATTAGAATAGTAGTGACTTGCCGGGGATGAGGATTGCGGATATTTATTTTAAGGATTGGTTAGGGATACGGTCTCCGGTAACCTCACCCACACGGCGACACACAACGCTGTGCTTGTTTCACCCCATTTTTCTACGAGGCCATGGTATCACTCCGGTCGAGCCAACCCATTCATGCCGAAGCTTGGCTCTCCCACACTTACATATATGTATTATTATATTTTATCCTTGACATCATAGTAATAATGTACACAATTCTTCCTGGGGTTCGATTCCCGATCCAGGTACTTTTATTGGGACCTTAATTTTCGTAATTAACCTCGTACCTAAATTAAATGAAAAGTGGGTGTTGCCTACTATTCCCATAATGAATTATCTATCGCGATTTCGCGAACCGGCTCAAAGACTTGCATCATTATATATATAGCAAGGGTCTTCTAATAAGGAGATTTAGAACTTTTGATTAAATACAGTTACTAAGAAAGGGCATACAAGAAAGTTACAGATAGGTTTCGAACAGTCTCGCCTACCCAAAAACGGCAGTTATTCACATTCCACCCAAAGCGGCCGAGATATATAGGTACTGTGATTTCAAGACCCTAGGCCAGAACATTATGTAGAAAGGCAAAACACTACCACCTACCCATGGCCAGAAGATCCTTGCAAAACATATATGAGATAGGGAACGGAATCGCGATCTATAAAACTGCCACCACTCAGATTCCTACCAGACTAATTCTAAAATGCTTCATAGTAACCAAATCATACATATTGGCCTGTCAGCGTGACTCTAAAACCAGCCTAAGCACTACGTTCCACAGGAACATGGAGCGCGAGTGCAAATGCAGTTCCCCTTTAGAACTATTATCACGAAAAAATCTGTGGGTTTTTTTAATTGGGGAAGAATTTTAGAGACAGCATGGCGAGATGGATTCCCTAATTACGATTGAAAGTTGAGACTTACTTTATGCATCAAATATACTTACATCTTTCAAGTTAGCAAATAAAATAACTAAAACTAGGTGTAGGCAGGTACTTATCGTCATTAAGGATACAAAGAGTGCAGGTGTTTTCTCAATATATTTCAAAGATCAAAATACATTTCTTACAACTTGTAACACTTCAATCATACCAAATTACAATTCGTCACTTATATTCATAAAGAACTTGCTAAAATGTTAACTAAAAATAAAGATGCACCAGCTTCTGAGACAATTGCAGACATCTGGTTTAACTGGTACATAGCAAATAATTTTAATAAGTTGAATGCTCATCAATCAATCAATCATTATGTTAGAAAAATATCATGTCCCACAAACAATCATATTAAATCTCTTATCACTAAAATATTTCTAGTACTTATGAACTACTAAACGATTTAGTCCGGACACAACAGTTCCCTGGAAACACTCCACTGTTCATGTCACTAACTTTTAGGAAACTATTTGTCAATCAGCTGAGTTTCTTAGAAAATGTGTCCGGGGTCAAATGCAGCAAGGTGGTAATGTAGTTAGCCTGTAAACAATAAATAAATATGATAGCCTTTCATAATCAAGACTCAAAGTTAATTATAATTATAAAAAATAAGTTTGATTCAACTCATTAAGTAGATACGACAATTTCAAAAGGTTTTCAATAATAATCAGAATAAGTTCATAGCAGTAACAGTTTATAAGTTTGACTATATAATTGGTAATCTAGGTACATATGCATATTACAAGCACATCTTTAGAAGAGGCACTCATATACCATCTTTATATAATCATATGGTGTTCAGTTTCATTATATTACTTTAATTTTATTCAAATCTAGTACTGCTTACTAGAATTGGGTAGTTTCCTAAGTCAAAAATAAATTAATTTGACATTTCAATACAATAAAATATATTCATTGATCATTCCATACACTAAGTTTTATATATTTTGTAGCTAGTTATTAAGAAATAAGTAAGCTATTTGACGCAAAAATACTTTGACATTAATTCAATGTTACATACAAATTTCTTAGGAAAGTAACATTTTTGACATTTGGATAAAAGTATTGAACTTGACTAGTTGGAAACTACCATATTATGCAAATTGCTTAGAACTGCAAATGTGTAATAGTATGTTTCCAATGTCATGGGGACATGAAAACAGGGCCCAAAAAAATTTTACACAAAAATTAAACAGACAGCACAATAGCCAGTACTATCTCAGCCATTGGCCAACCATGCAATCAGCTATGAATTTCATACAACATTCAAATACAATTCAGAACCTTTTTAAAGGCTTTCTATAAGTTCTTAAAAGAAGTACGGGTAGTCTTGGGGCGGAGTTAATTCATCAAAACCCAGGTGAATGCCAGTGTTTACTCATATTGTTTCTCTATTTCCCACAAATTAAAAGATTAAAATAGGCAATCTATTTAGCACGATTGAAAGGTTAAGACAAGCATATCAAGTTGAATAAATATTTTTTTGGAAGAAACTAGAAATAGAAACTGATAATTCATAGTTTTTATGTAATGTATCAACTGCGGTATGCTTCTCAACCAAAGTTTAAAATTACTGTATGCATTTTTATTTGGCTCAAAGTAACTTTGTACTGACCACGAACCATTTGAAATTTTTGGCACTACAGTGAATTGATTTGAATAATGACTAAAGAGAATTGATTTACTTGTTAAAAAAAAAAAACATTTCAATAATTTCGGGAGTTAAAAAATCCTGTTGGCTTAGTGGGTATTAATTAATAATATATTTACCTAATTTTAAACGGGTGCGCCGGGACCGCCTTTCTTGCCAATCAGCGATTTGTGTATGTGAGGGATGACACCGCCACCAGCGATTGTGGCTTTTATCAAACTGTCAAGTTCCTCATCTCCTCGAATGGCCAGCTGCAAGTGGCGCGGTGTGATACGCTTCACCTTAAGATCTTTAGATGCATTTCCCGCCAATTCAAGAACCTGAAATTAACAAAACAATAATTACAATAGGTATGACAATTGAACTTATTAACAACTAAATATTGAGTAATTACTATTACATGACAAGAAAGGATTGTTAATACTGAATTCCTTATTAATTGCAACAGTACATCAATTTCCCGCCAAAAACAAAACATACCTAAGCATATCAATATTTTATATTTAACTATGATAATCGGGTGAACTAAATGAAATAAAAACTTTCACAAGTCAGATCCAAAAAAACTTTCGTTTAAGTGGGAATGATTGCAAGAAAATTGGGTAAATTACTATTAACGCAGTGTGTTTAGCCGCCATATTGTCAGGGCGTCGCAAGCTTACCTCGGCTGTGAGATATTCAAGAATAGCTGCGGAATACACCGCTGCTGTTGCTCCAACACGTCCATGACTCGTAGTCCTATTTTTGAGATGTCTGTGAATTCTTCCCACAGGAAACTGAAATTATATTTTCCTATTATACTTCCTAGGTATTGATTATTTCTCTACGGTGCACTAATGGTCGCCGCCATACTGAAGGAGAGGTCATACATATTATTCAATTAATTGAATAAGAGAAAACGAACAAAAAAAAGCAAGTAAATATCACTAAAAATCCTAATAGAAATTTTGATGACAAATTAACTTACCTGAAGTCCAGCTCTTGCCGATCTGGATACTGCTTTAGCTTTAGCCTTACCAGAATCTTTACCCGCTTTACCGCCAGCCTAAAATTTATGAAAAAACCTATTAATTTTTCTTGTACGAAGTTGAAACTTCGCCAGTAAGTAAATAACACTACTGTCCACCAAATTACACTATAAAATCACCATAACCATAACTATATTTCACAAAATCTTGCAAAACTCACCATTTTGAAACGTGTAACACTATGACCACTACAGACAGTGAATAACCAACACAGGAAAGGCGCCAAGCCAAAACGCTAAATACAAAGATGGCAGCGCCGCTGCCGTGCCGTTTTAGTATTCAGGGTAGCCAATTGAACGTAAGCGGAAGTGGCGTAAAAACAAACAACTCTCGACACGAAACTCTTATCCAATCAGCGTAGACCAAAATGGCGGGTGGGACACTAACTAAAGTGCTGCCAAGCCAGGACAAAATAATTGTGAATGGTTTCGGAACTAATTCTTAAACGTTCTGTTCTACGTTTCGTTCTACGCAGCTATACAAAATTATAAAAAGCGAGATTTATTATTATTTACTTACGTTAACAGTAAAAGTTAAATCATAATTAGTTAACAAAAAAAAAAAAACCTGACAGAACAGCCATACGTATATTTCATTAAATTGGTTTAGATAGTATTTACATATTGAAAGTACTCCACTACAGTACATACTCACCTAGATATTTTTACATGCAATCCTAAGTACGTATTATTGTATTTGTTTAAATTTGTTAAACAGACTTTTAAAACTTTATTATTTTTATTCATTACTAGCTTCCGCCCGCGGCTTCGCTGGCGTGGTGAGGGGAAAATCATCAAATGACTCAAATCACCAGGGCCGGGCAGGAGGGAGTGTCAGACTCTTACTGATTAAAAACCCCCCTGTTCCTTCTCCTGCTCTGTGCCGAGGTCGCGGGGCCTCATTGCGCTTACCCCGCAACCCCGGCTGTCGCTGACGTGGTGTGTTGATAAAAAGCAGCCAGCAAAATAACAAAATTAAAATTTGGTATGTTTCATTTTCATGGTTACGTCCCCGACAGGTTAAAAGAACCCTATTACCGAGGGTCCATTGTCCGTGCTTAAAGGTACTTAATGGTATTTAATAGTGATTTGAGGAGTGGTTTCAGAGACGCCACGGCGTCCTTATCTTCCGCCTGACGTAGGTGCTTGCTGGGCACGGTATCTAGCTTTGGTAGGTCCCTGTTTCGAATTCGACGGAAGGAAACGCCCGGGTGTCGAAATTATGAGGACCGCCCGAAGGTAAGGATAGGTTCACGCTTCTTTTAGTAGGCTTTTGACAACGCTGTAACTTGCCGATGTTCGAACCCGACCTGATGATGGAGCCGGAAGACAGTCGAGGGATCTCTTTTTCGATTCTCCTTAACTATTTGGAGTAGTTGCCTTTTGTTTGGGCTTGAATGATTCGTATTGGTGAGTACTTTGCACAAAGATTGGTCGTGACTGTCATTAAGGGTCTGATGATGAGAACGATGGACAGCTTAGGGAACTCCTGAACGGTTTACAGTAACTACCTCGTGTTTGGACTTAATTCATTTATATTAATGAGAACTTTGCACTTCATGTATAATGAAGGTCTGCAGTATACCTGATAATGGAGGTCATTGACATTCGAGGGAATTCCTCAACGATTTACGGCACTGAAAGCTAACTAACTCAGGACTGCCATTACCGTGATTTTTGGTCTCAAGTAGCCGTCGTCTTCTCTTTTAAGAAGCATCCTAGCTTTCTCTCATCACTTAAAATGGTGAAATAAAATATTTTTTAACAAAAAAAAACCCCGACTTATAAAAGTAAACAACAAAGCAAAAAATAAATTTACTTTGTTCAAAGTAATACATATTTTCATTTAGTTATATAGAAAATAATATTTAATAACTATTTTATAATTTTGAAGTCGGTGCCAAGTAGAGTAGTAGATTACCGCGCGCGCCTTAAAGAGTCAATGGGCCACAAACGGGCCCAACGCAATGTGGCACCTCGGCCTAAAGCAGGAGAAGGAGCGGCATTTTAGTCAGTAAGAGTCTGACACTCCCTCAATCCCTAAATCTCCAAATCCCTAATTCCCAAAAGTTCGGTCATGCACTCGTTATACTTCTCTGTTGTTGCACGGCGGCGCTGATTGCTAACCATCAGGTAACCAGTCTGGTCGTTTGACGACCTATCACATAAAAAAGTTATCGTACTACTTCATCACTAGCTATCATACAATTTCATCACTAGCAGTCGTAATACTTCATCACTTCATCACTAGCTATCATACAATTTCATCACTAGCAGTCGTATTACTTCACCAGTAGCTGTCGCACTATGACTTAACAAAGAGCTTTACATTTTACTTGTAAACAGCTGATTGTAATTTGTATTTAAAAAAATGTTTTGAGCTTGAGATATTTATTGACTTCTGACCTATCAGTGGGTAACCTATTAGAAGGTTTATACATATTGTTACATTGACGTCATGATGTCAAAGAGTTTTCTGTCACACTGCCCCCCTCTTAGATTCGCTCGTCCCGAGCATCGTTGCTGCCGTAATACCTCGCCAACCTGTCTATATGGACAACTTTCAAAGGGCTCCTTGAAGACTTCCGAATTCTGTAAGTAATGTCATTGATCTTCGTGACTATCTCGTAAGGACCTTCCCAACTCGGTTGCAGCTTTGGAGATTTTCCCTTCCTTCTGACTGGATTATGAAGCCAGACCAATGACCCCTCTTCAAACCCAACAGAATTGGCTCGTCGATCATAGCGCGTCTTTGCGCGATCACTAGCTTGAAGACCGGCCTCCCTGATCTGCTCATAAATGTCCAACATTTTTGCCCTTAACTCGCTTATGTAATCGCTAAACTCGGTGCGAGAGTCACCAGGTGGACAGCCCGATACAAGATCCGCCGGTAATCTCAATTCCCTTCCAAAATTTGCAAATGCAGGCGTCTTTGCGGTACTTTCATGTACAGCAGTCCGATAGGCAAGCAAGAAGAGAGGTATGTAAGTGTCCCAATCTTTCTGATGGCTGTCAACCACCTTTGCTAAGTGTCGCTCCAATGTTTGGTTGAAGCGTTCGACCATTCCATCTGACTGTGGATGATAAGGGGTCGTTCGAGTCTTATGGATTCCCAAAAGTTTACAAGTTTCCTGGAAAACTTGGGATTCAAAGTTCCGTCCTTGATCACTGTGCATCTCCAAGGGCACTCCGAATCGGGTGAATACCTCGTTTACCAACTTCGTGGCTACAGTTACTGCCTCTTGATTCGGTATGGCAAAGACCTCCGGCCATTTTGTAAAATAATCCATAACCACTAAAACGTAGCGATTGCCCGAATCAGTGATTGGAAATGGTCCAGCGATGTCTAAGGCTATTCTCTCCCAAGGCATACCAACATTGTAGATTTTCATCGCCCCTCTGCTTCTTGTTTGTGGACCCTTGACAGCTGCACAACTAGTGCATTTCCGGCACCAATCTTCGACGTCATATTTGCAATGCAACCAATAAAACCTCTCCTTGATCTTCACCAAAGTCCTCCTAATTCCCAAATGTCCTCCAGAAGATCCATCATGGAACGCTTTTAATACATCCCTTATTTTTGAACGAGGCACCACCAATTGCAAATGCTCGTCCTTGCCGTTTGTTGATTCCCATTTCCTGCACAGAAGTCCGTTATGCAGCGTAAGGCTTTTCCACTGTGCCCATAAACCTTTCGTTACCGCGCTATATTGGGCGACGTCACTCCAACTTGGCTTGTTACCACTTCGTAGCCACTCCAGTATTGGTTTGATATCTGCATCTGTTTCCTGTTCTAATTTCATCGCATCATCTCCCCATGCCTCGTCAACAGTATCAGTCCTTATCACCTTAAGAAAAGCAGTTTCCTTCTTGGCACAATGCTTGCAATCTTCCACGCATGGGCGTCTCGATAATGCATCTGCGTTGCCATGAATTCTTCCGCCGCGATGTTCGATTTCAAAGTCAAATTCCTGAAGTTGTTCCAACCATCTGGCTACTTGGCCTTCGGGATCCTTAAACTGAAGCAGCCATTTCAAAGCAGCGTGATCAGTTCTGATCAAAAATTTCCGTCCCAGTAAATACTTCTTGAAATGGTGCAGAGTTTTGACTACGGCCAGCAATTCCCTCCTGGTCACGCAATAATTCTTCTCCGGCTTGGATAGTGACTTGCTGAAGTAAGCAATAACCTTCTCCTGCTCACCATCGCGTTGTGAAAGGACACCTCCTATTCCAATATTGCTGGCATCGGTATCAACTACGAATATTCCTTTCGCGCTGGGGTATCCGAGAATTGGTGTGTTACAAAGCCGTTCTTTTAGTTCTCGAAAGGCTTGCTCACAATCCTCGTCCCAGATAAAGGCACGTTTCTCCTCTGTCAATCGATGCAAAGGCTTGGCAATGTCCGAGAATCCTTTCACAAACCGCCGATAATACGAGCACAATCCAAGAAATGCCCGAACTTGCGTTTTGTCTTTAGGTGTTGGCCATTCCTTAACAGCGGCAGTCTTGGCTGGATCAGTCTCAATTCCTCTCTCAGAAATAACATGTCCTAGATAATTCACTTCGCGCTTGAAGAAAGAGCATTTCTTTGGACTCAACTTTAAATTTGCTCCACGCAGCTTATCGAGTACCTTTTCCAATTTCCTTAGATGATCGTCAAAATCCCGTCCAACAATGATGATGTCATCGAGGTAAACTAGGCAGGTTTCGCCCAGCAGTCCCGCCAGCACCTGTTCCATCAAACGCTCAAAGGTTGCCGGTGCATTGCATAATCCAAATGGCATCACCTTAAATTGCCAGAGTCCCTTCCCAGTTGAGAATGCGGTCTTTTCCTTGTCCTTGGGATCCAAATCCACCTGCCAATAGCCGCTTTTCAGATCGAGCGTTGAAAACCATTTCATCCCACTCAGTGTGTCAAGTGTGTCATCGATTCTTGGTAACGGGTAGCTATCCTTCTTGGTTACATCATTCAATCGTCGATAGTCTACGCAAAACCTCGTTGAACCATCTTTCTTCTTGACAAGCACGACAGGTGAACACCAAGGGCTAGAAGAGGGCTCTATCACGTCATTTTTCCTCATATCGTCAATCATTTCTTCAACCTCTTTCTCACGAGCGAATGGTATGCGTCTGGGCCTTTGACGAATTGGCATTGTATCACCTGTGTTTATTTTATGTTTCACCAAACCAGTTCGGCCAATATCACCATCGCTTCTTGAAAACACATCAGAGAATCGAAGAAGTAAATTTCTAGCTTTCATAGTCTCCACTTTTGTCAGACTTTTGTTTTCGTCTAA